CCCAGCACCGCCGCTCCCGGCCCAGCACCCAGCGGCGCCGGCCCCTCCCTATTTTCCCGGACATGTTCGGCTTTTTGGGATTTCCCCCCGGATATGAGGCCCAAAAAGCCGGACATGTCCGGGAAAATCCGGACGTATGGTAACCCTAATTTAATGTACACTTTTGCTAACTGATTCTTTCCCCATCCCTCCCAAAATGAAGATGCCCAGCCAAAATAAAGCACCCTTGCCATTAGAAATGTTTACAGTACTACGCTCTTAAAGTCTTTTTTTCTGTCCTGCAGGGTGAATTCCATTGAATAACATTGAAATCATTTTAAAAATAGTCACTCCTTTTTGCTAGATAAGTAGAATTTTTAAGGGTCAGGACTGTAACCAGAGGTTATGTGTGAGACAAGAGACTAGTCACTGAAAGAGTGGCCTGAAATCTTTTTAAACACAAATTGTCAGATTTGGTAAAGAGTAATAAATTTAAGTATTGAAATGCAAGTTTGTATGGGGGGAAAGTTGCTCTGTTTCTAGCAGTGTCCTAGCAGGTGGCTGAAAGAATGAGATGCCTCAGATGCTGTTTGGAGTGCTTCAGATATATTCTTTCTCTCTCTCTCCCCCTGGCAAGAATGTGAAATGTTGTTATGACCAATAGAGACAGCAGCACAACTTGTCAAGATTGTTCTCCTCAGAGCCCCATGATCCGGGAGGATTCAGTTACACAAACATCTGATCCCTTGCCAAGTGTCTGAACAGAGTTTTAAATACAATTTTAGAGCTTTTACAAACAGAGCATTTTAAATTTAACAAGTTTCTCTAGAGCAGGTTTATGTTAAAACAGGGAAACCAAAGGAATTATTGGTGTGATTTGCAAAATATATTGACCAAACAGCTAAATCCCAGACTCTTTCTGAGAAGATGGAAATGCATTTTTTGCTCTGTTGCATTTAGTTGTATTTATCCGTAAAATGTTTGATGATAAAAGGCCCAGTCCTGCAAGTTTGTCAGCATATCGCAGGGTCAGGACCAAAATTAGGCAAAAAGGGGCTTTGGATCAGGCTCAGTGGTGGCGGCAAATGCCCTCAAACTGTTTGGTAAATACCATTGTAAAAATTCAAGAAGACAGAGCACAAGTTGGATATATATTTATTCTGATCTCTAAATTCCAAACTTTCCCCCAGGAAGTTGGCTATATTAAGGGTTCTGCAGTAGATGGCCTTTTAAATTTTGTTGTAATTTTTCTTCAATAAGCTTAATAATCACATTAATTGAAAGTAATGCAGCTTAGCATTTATCCATACATTGGTTAATATGTCTCAAATGCCACTACATGTGGTCCTTATATGGTCATGTTGCACTTTATAGCAATCTTCCTCAAATGGCTGGCTACAGTAATTTTTTATTTAAATGGAAAGTCAAGCAAGCACACTTTAATAAGTGCTATAAGATGCCTATGGTTTTAGCTGAATTGAATACATATGGAGCATCTTCAGAAGCAAGAGTAATTATTTGCACAATGTGAATGAAATCTTTGGAGAAACACCACAGGAGCCATGGAAGAATATTCAAGACAAATGAAAAAGAGAATATTACGTATATGAGGACAAATTATCATTATTGCTATTTATATTATGATAGCACCTATAAACTTCCTTTAAGGATTAGGGTACCATACATACAGTAGAAAACGTGTTTGCTCTAGAGAGCAATGAACACGGTCCTTGATGCCAGAGGTTTTTGATCTGTTAAAGTACTGCATGAAACAAGATTATTTTAGTGTCACTTCATCAAAAATACCGTAGCTACCATTTTAGATGGCCTCTAATGTTACACTTCTTGTATAGATACAGTGCTGTCATTTGAAATGTGTGTTATAAAGCAGGAAATATAACAATGGCAGAAAAAATACCACTGCTTTTACCAGAAACATTTGTTCACCTTGACCCCAGTTAAGCAAGGTACCTAATCACATGCCTAACTTTCAGCACATGAGTAGTCCCATTTAAGTAGGACTACTCACATGTTTAAAATCAGGAACATGCTTAGGTACCTTGTTGGATAAAGGCCTTTGACTGTATAGACATTGCAGAGAAGGAAAAACAGATCACCTAGTATGTTAAGTGTGTTTAAAATGGAAAAAGTAGCTTTTTGTTGGTACTGGTGCATTGTCCTCTGTTGTTTTCCCTATTTTGCAAATCAGCAAGATCCCAGTGGGTCTCCCAGGCATTAGTGAGGTTCTACTGTAATTTAAATCATGTTCACCTGTGACTCTAACACAAAACAAATGTAATTTATTGAGGTTTATAGTAAAACCATAACATCAAATTTGTAAGAATTTTTAATGGATTAGTCCAAACTTCATTTTTAAAACTTCCTTATAATGTTCATTATGTTTTACAACACATAATGTAGACTCTGTATTGTAAATAACACGGGCTGTTTATTGTGTGGTTTTTAATCCTCTTTTAAGAAGTGTGGATTGTAGCAATTTAATTTAGCAATATTTTTAATTTAAATTACTGAATAATAAGACATAAGCATCACATGTGACATACAACTGTTTACTTTTACACTGCGGCAAACATAATATGACTATCCAAGATGCAAGGATAAACGTGGTTCTATTTTAAAAGTCAGGCGGGCAGTGGAGTATTACTCTTCCATTACAGATGCAAACATTTGCATTTAGTACTCAAGGTTATGTTATGTTCCTTCATAGGTTTGCTCTTACTAATACTGATTATTGAAAAAGTGTTTTTCACTTTTATACTGATCATTCCATACAGTTGTCATTTTCCACATGCTGCAGTTACTGTTAGAATTTTTGTTTTTTCTTCCTACCTAGTTTGAGAAAGACGTCTCGTCTAGTGACAATTTAAGAATCTAAACTAATTGGAAGGGGTTTGCATTCTGAGAGAATTTTTGGGGAACTGTGGGTGTGTTAGTCAAAATCTGGTATAGTTCACTTTGACTGTGATCCCTTTGGACTTGGCGGCGGTAAAAAAAATTGTATCTTTTTAATGGTAAACTAATACTACTGGTGCTTCGTTACAGTGATCCTCTGAAAATTACCTCTGAATAAACCCTGGGTCCTTTAAAAAGACACCCACTACAAACCACAACCATCCCCCCCTCATTAGTAATGGCTATTTTGGTTGTGAAGCACATACATGATGATCTCAGCAGTGTCTTACTAATCCCAGCCATACAAGCAAAAGGCTGATTCTGCACCCAAAGCTCTGTGTCGAAAACGAGAGATGCCAATCCCCTGCCTGACAAAGTCTTTAATGCTGTAGTGGAAGTGAAGAGCCAAAATAATATGGAAATATTTGCAGTACTTTAATGCACTATGTAACAAGATTAAAGACAGAGGCTGTGTACCCAAAACTTTTTTTTTAATAGACAGATCTGTGAATCTGATTTCCTCAACCTGCCCTGTCTGAGCTGCTGTGCACCTACATCTCTCAAACTTCCGTAGGAATTTTGGGTGCTCTGCAACTGTGAAAATTGGGCTCTGAGTTCTGATACACAAGGTATACCCCTGCTCTTTTCAATGATTTTATCATGCTGCTCTTTTTAATAAGGAGGCAGAGAGATTAAGCTTATGTATACATATGTGTGTGTGTATATGTGTATACACATACAGTATGATTATATATAATCATACTTCCCTTAGAAGAACCCCCATCTAGTCTGGTATAAAACTCCCCTGATGTCCTATTAAATATAGCTTCTAATTACAACTCCCACCATAACATGCAAAACACTTGGCTCCTCAGAACAGTCTTGTATAGGAGAACATTGTTCTATCTGCATTTAAACGGGGTGCATTTACTTTACACCAAATAACACCCTTATAAATTAGCTACCTGGTTGAAGTCTGGGTTGCTGAAAGAACAAACCATGTTCCCTGTTCATAGAACTGTGCCTTATTATTTTACGAGCCTACATTTGTCTCAGTGAAATCAAATTACTAATCAGGG